AGATTTCTGTAAACAGGCGCTGGCTAATAAACCTTGCTGATTGAACCTGCATGGTCTCCAGAAGTTCTTTGGGCTAGGCCTGACAGAAGAACAGTTAAAAGAAGCAAGTGTGTTTAGCCTATAGAAGAGAAGGCTAAAGGGAGACATGACAGCAGTCCATTCATTCATTCATTCATTCATTCATTCATTCATTCATTCAGCCGCCCATCTCCCCCCAATGGGGGAACTTGAATAATAATACTTGATACTAATACTTGAAGGACTGTCACAGATTTATTCTTCATACTGACTGAGGGTAGGACAAGAACCAGTGGAAAGAAGAGAGTTGAGCAGGGGATCCAAACTTGAAATAGAGAGTAATTTCCTGACTGTGAGAGCTGTGCAGCCTTCCTCCTGCAGTTGTGCATGCTCTATCTCCAGAGGTTTTCAAGAAAATATTGGATAGCCATTTGTCTGGGATGACCTGAGGATTCCTGCCCTGGGCAGGGGATTGGACTAGAAGCCTCCAAAATCTCTTCTATGATAATTTGTTGGCATAAATTGTAGGCTTCTAAAGAATATTAGAAACTCTAGTTTAATGAGTGAGCTAGCAAGGTGTTAGGCCCAGCCCAAGAACAGCAATGAAACAGTCCAGTCTAATACAGTTCCTTTATTCTGCCTTGTAGACAGAACCTTGCCAAACTAAATCTATACTACGGCAATTAGTGGATATGCCCTGTGAGATTCTAGGGAGTGGCTATCCTGAATCTGTTAGTCTCCTCACGCTCCTCCTGCGGACTGTGCTGCCTCTTGTCTCTTTTCCCCTCCTGGAATGCACCCTCTCCTTCCTGATAGCCTTGATCTCCCACACAAGGAAACCAAACAATTTGGCAATGGAGCTGAAAAAGGCAGAAGAGAACAGGAAGCTTCCTGAGTGAGTGAACAGGAAAACCAACAGGAGTTTGCCAAGGGAGGTTAAAGGGGAGTGACTTTGTTTTTGTTTTCCCTTTCTTCTTTTGTGTTTATTTCTGTCCTCACTGAGTGAGGTAGCTTCTGGAAGCTAAAAGCAGGCTAGAGAACAAGAGGAATTTCCTGATAGTACAGGGTGCGAGACATTGGAAAAAGGTGCCACATGGTGCTTCAAGTACAGGTGTTTAAACAGAGGCTGGATGGTCATCTCTCAGAGATGCTGTAGTGGATCCTGCACAGAACAGGGGATTGGACTAGATAACTTCTAATATCCCTTTTAACTCTATGATCCTATGACTCTTAGGGGTGGGGCAATAGCATATGAGTTTCAAAAGAAGGGAGTGCCCATGTCAGATATCAGGTTCCTGTGTTGCATAGTCAGCACGTTTTTGATAGGCCTCTACAATTTATAATGAAAAATCCAAATGGTGCAAATCAGCTTTGTGAATTAACAAAAGTAGAGTTTTAGATCCTAGTAATTATGTGAAGTTATTTTACTAATATAAATAATTGTCTCTGAAACAAATGGCACTCCATGAACTTCTCTAGGAAAAACCTTGGTGTGTAGTTAGCAAAAGCTATTCTTTAAATAGTGTGCTGTTTTGCTTCCATGGGGAAAAAACCTGTTTTGATATTGGAATATCAGTGCAACATATATTTTATAGAGGTAGGCCTCAACTTATGATCATACGTTCAGCGACCGTTCAGAGTTATGATGGTGCTGAACAAATGGTGGTTACGACTGCTCCTTGGAGTTACAGACGTCCTAGCATCACCATGGTCATGTGATCATGATCTGGGCACTTAACAACCCATTCACAGTTACGACTGGTTGCCAAGCACCCCACAATCATGTGATCGCCATTTGCAACCTTCCCTGCCAGCTTCCCCAGAAAGTCAATGTGGAAAGTGGCAGAGAAGGTTGCAAGTTACTGGGGTAAATCTCACCCACACATGCACCCTCCCCAGCCCCTCTGTGCTCACATTGTGCTGGCCACCTGTGATGGAATGGTGTTATGAAGGCCATGCTCAGGGAGATAAGCATTTCCTTAGCCCTCAACAGGA